CGCCCGCCCCGCTTGCGCGCGCCCCCTCCCGCCCCCTCTGTGCGTCTTGTCCGGGCCGGCCTGCTGCAGCCACCTGGTGCCTTAGTCCTCGGGCTGGGGGGAAGGGGTCCCGCGCGGGAGGGGCCGGGGGTGGGGACGCGGGGGTATTAAAGAGACTGAGAAGCTGCCTCTCCGTCTTTGTGCCCAGGTCAGGCCCCGAATCTGCGGGAGCCAGGCCGTGTTTACTACAACAGGGGGCCTACGTCCTCCGTCGGAGCTGAATTCTGGAAACAGGCTCTTCTAGCCACTCCCCTGACCCCCCCTCCTCAGAACCCCCTCCCCCTTCTCTCCTTCAACTCCCCTTAATGCACCAATCCTGGATTCCGCTGCTTGAGTTCACTTTGTCCTCAGGGAGGCTACTGGGGCTCCGAAAGGTCAGGCAGCTTGCCCAAGGACACACAGCTGGAGCAGGAACGCTGGGCAGAAACTGCATCCGTCTAGGTCTCATGACTCGCATGGGAACTTAGCCTGAGTCCCAAGACAGGCGTTGGGAAGCAGCGCCTTCTTCCCCACCGAAAGACCCCGGGAGGCTAGTGGGAATGGCCCTTGCCCAGGACAGCCACCGACGGATGGAGGAATGAAGTCATCAGAGCTGATTCTCCTAATCTGAAATTAACTGGAAGCAGAGAGGGGTGAGGAGGCCTGATCACTTGAATGGGTTTCTTCTTCTGCCTGAGTGCTGGGCTCAGGGTTGGTGCCGGGACTTGCATCCCAGTGGTGGGGGGAATGGGTAGGCAGAATAACCCTTCCCATCTCCTACTCCTGTTCACTCAACGAGCATCCACTGCTGGCTGAAGGGAAACCTCTGCCCCACCTAGCTGACACTGGTAGTGAAGATGGCAGATAAAGACAGCTAGGTCCTGGTGAGGGAGGGGACCACTGCACAGCTGGGGGGGGGGGTCCAGACCTAACAGTAAGTGAAAAAGCCCTGGGTTAGGGTGGAGTGTAAAGAGCAAGCTAACAGGGCTGCCCAGAGTGTGGGGGGCGCACACCCCAGGCTGCTTGTGGCAGCACCATCCACCCATTTTCAAGCACCTTCGCATCTCACATGCTGCCTTCCACTGTTTAACCCCAAGAAGCCATCATCTACGAGAGCAAAGAGAGCCCTGCGTCTAGTGCGTCAGGTCCTTCTGACACTACCTCCCCGTGCTGACTTAACAATCCACGGCTTATTTACTGAGGTGGCTGTGCCAGACATTTCATCTGCATCTCAGTTAATCCTCAAGCAACCTGCTAGTCGGTGTTGCTCTTTATCAGCTGAGACTAAGGCTGGTGTCAGGGTGGTCAGCTAGCAAGCAGTGGGGCTGGGGTGGGAACTGAGGCAGCCTGGTTGAAGACCCCTCTCCTCCCCTCCTCTTCCTGACTACCCTTTGAATATCTAAAAATTCAACCAACCTCAGATATAAAAAGGGGGGGCTGGGAAAGTGACTCAGTGGTAGAGCGCTTGCCTTGCATGCATGAGGCCCTGGGTTCAATTCCTCAGCACTACCTAAGCAGAAAAAAGCCGGAAGTGGCGCTGTGGCTCAAGTGGTAGAGTGCTAGCCTTGAGCTGAAGAGCTGAGGGACAGTGCCCAGGCCCAGAGTTCAGACCCCACAACTGGCCTCCCCCAAAAAAAACCTGCATCTGGGCCAGGCACCGGTGGCTCACGCCTGTAATCCTAGCAACTCAGGAGGCTGAGATCTGAGGATCATGGTTCAAAGCCAGCCAGAGTAGTAAAGTCCGAGAAACTCTTGTCTCCAGTTAACCACCAGAAAACCGCAAGTGGCACTGTGGCTCAAGTGGTAGTGCGCTAGCCTTGAGCTGAAGAGCTGAGGGACAGTGCCCAGGCCCACAGTTCAAGCCCTAAGACTGGGGAAAAAAATGCATTTGGCCAAGTGTGGTGGCTCACTCTAGTCATCCTAGCTACTCAGGAGGCTGACATTTGAGGATCACAGTCCAAAGCTAGCCTGGGTAGGAAAGTCTGTGAGATGATCTCCAATTAACCACCAGAAAACTAGAAGTGGTGCTGTGGCTCAAGTGGTAGAGGGCTAGCCTTGAGCAAAAGGAGCTCAGGGACAACACCCAGGCCTAGTGTCCAAGCCCCAGGTCTGGCAAAAAAAAAAAAGCATGTGTAACTGAATGTGTACAGATTTTTCTTGTCATTATGTCCTACATGGTATGAGGTAACAAGTATGAAGCATTTAGGTTGGCTTCACTACGATAGGTAAGTAGACATGGTTTAAAATCTGTGGAAGGATGTGCATCGGCTTGCAAATACCACCCCATTCTGTATAAGGATTTGGGTGTCCACAGATTTCAGAACTAGTACCTCATGGAGACCAAAGGAGGGCTGTGGTAACTCAGATGAAATGCTTTGCCCCTCAGTGTGACCCGGCAGGCCTATGTGAATCTGAGTGTGGACTCAGAAGGGTGAGAACCAGACACCTGCTGGCTACTAGCACATGGAGTGCGGATAGATGAAGAGCACAACGCCAACACCCCAACAGGTCCCGCCTCTTGCTCTGTGCCCTGCACCCAAATCTCTGCCCCCTGCAGGAGATTTTTTCTCCTGGAGCCCCAATTTCACCACGTACCCAAACAAGGGATAGAGGAGTCTGAATTCTCTTAGCATCTTCCATACCATAAATATCTGTTGACAATTTAATAAAAGATTCAAGCCTCACAGCCAGGCATGGGTGCAGATGCCTGTGATTCCAGCACTCAGGAAGTTGGTGGTGATAAGGAAAATCAAGAGTTCGAGGGCAGCTTTCGGTATATAGTAAGACCTTGTCTCAAAACCACATTTTCACACAAATTAGGGGCTCACAGATCTCACAAGAAGTCCATAAACTCCAGGTGTAGCAAACAGAAGGCAGTGGGGGCATTTTTAGAAGCTTCTGGGCTGTGGGGCACAGACACACACAGCTCTTACCCTTTTCCTTGGCTGTCTGGTCCAGTTGAGTGTGTCTGTTCCAGGGCTTTAACCTCGCTGAGCCCGTCTTTTTAACATTAGACTAGGCTATTAAACTACCTCGTGGGTGGTGGGCTCTGGCAGGAAGGGTTTAGCCTGTGCTGCCCCTCCGATGAGCCATAAAAGGGGACTTCCAATCTAGGAGTATAACCCTGCTGTTCCCCGACTGTGTCAGAACTCCATCAAAGTCGGCTCCTGAGCTGCCAGTCGCAATGTCAGACTGAGCCAGTGTGTCAGGGAGATCACAAGTGTGTGTTTGAGACTAGCCACTGCCTCTCAAATGTGACAGGAACACTTCCCTCCCGTTCCAGCCTGGAGTAAGTCAGGTCCTAAAGAGAGACCCAGCAGCCCGTGTGTGTGTGTGTGTGTGTTTGTGTGTGTGTGTGTGTGTGTGATCACCAGAGTCCAGGCAGCCTCTGTGTGTGTGTGTGTGTGTGAAGTGAGAGAATCACCAGAGTCCAGGAGTTCAAGACCAGCCTGGGCAACATCTTGAGACACCATGCAGACAAGCGCAGCAGTGGGGCGGGGTTCCCTCTCTGAATGCCGGCTGGGGTTCTCCTCGGGGCAGGCCGAGCCCCTTGGCCACTCAGGGTCTCAGTGGCGCCTCGGGGTCAGGGGCGGGCCTGGGCCCAGCTCAGCCTCTGCGCGGCAGGGATGCCGCGGGGGGGGGCGGGGGGAGGACAAATGGAAGGAAACCCGCGGCACTTTCGCTTTCGTCGCCGGTGGCCCCGCACCCCCTGGTCCGCCAGGGTCAGCCACCTTCCTCGGCGCCCTGCGGTCCTTGCTGCCAGGAGGACGGGAGGGTTCCCCTCCGGTGGGCACCGATGGTGGGAAGCGGGGTGCCGTGCGCCTCCGGACTGGCTGGTGGCCCGGATGGAGAGGGACGGCTGGCTGGGCTGCGCGGGGGAGAGGGGGGCCGACCCTCTTCCGCATCCCCTGGATGAGCCTTGCGGGGCTCCGGGGCGCTCTTCAGGGTAAGGCCCGGCGGGGGGGGTGCAGACCCCCTCCCCCAGCCCAGGAGAGCTCCGGATCAACCCAACCCTCAGACACAACCCCCTGAACCCCTCGCCTCCAGCGCCCCCGCGGGAGTCCTGCAACTCCCAGCCCCAAACTACAGGGGGGGACCTGTGCACCCCCAGCCCTTTTGGGGGGACCTCCTGCAGGGCTGGTCTCACCGTTCACTCTGGGCCTGGGCGCTGTCCCTCAGGTCTTCAGCTCAAGGCAAGCGCTCTACCACTTGAGCCACAGCGCCACTTCTGGTTTTCTAGTGGTTCATTGGAGATAGAGTCTCATGGACTTCCCTGCCTGGGCTGGCTTTGAACCATGATCCTCAGATCTCAGCTTCCTGAGTAGCTAGGATTACAGGATTACCCCACCCCAAACCCCCACGCCAGTCACCTCCAGCTCCCCCTTCTGTCACCTCTCTCCTTTCATAGCAAGAAGTAGCTGGGTCAGTGTTCTCTCCCCACAGGCTCCCCTCCCTCCCCAGCTCCCAGTTGGCTTCTGCCCCTCCTCTGATCCAGCCATGCAGCCCAGCCTTCACTTTGCCAGCTGCTGGGCTAGCCTGTACCTTACCGTCTCCCCTCCTCCCTAACACACTCAGTGGCCTCCCTCCTCCACCCCTCTCTTCCTCCTACCTCCCAGGCCCTGCCCTCCGGCCTCTGACATCACCCAGCCTTTATTCCCAGACCTCCTTCCTCAGTCTCCGTCTCCTCCTCTATGGCCCCCATCTAGAAGCCCCAAGCCTCTCCTCCCAGCCCTAAGCCTGCTGGTCTCACTGTCTGCCAGCCAGACACTGCTTCTTGGATTACCCCCACCCCCGTCCCTCAGCCAAAGCCACACTCACCAGTTCACCCCACATACTCCAGCAATCTCATTGCACCCCATTTCAGAGCCCTCCCCACCCCACCAGGCTCTTTCTGCACACGTTGAACTCATTTCCACAGTTCTCCTGGGAACAGCTACAGTAACCTCTCTGGGCTTCCTGCTTCTCGGGCCCTGGGCCGTTCCCTCAGTCCTCCAGAGGGTTCTTCCTAAATGCAACAAGGGTCTTAACACTCTTCTCCCCAGGGGCCTGGCCCTGGGGACAAAGTCCCAGCTCCTCAGCTGGTCCTCAGAGCACCAACAGGAGCTGTCTCCAACTCCCCCACCCCCACCCTCACCCTCTTATCTCTGGGCCCCTCCCTTCCCTCCCCAACTTTAGTTCTTTCACTTTCTAGATGCTCACCACTAGGGATTTTGTACATGCTGTTCCCTTGCCTACCACGGCCTCATCTCCACTTTCACTCAGCCA